AATGTGAGTTCTGGTTAAGAGAAGTACAATTCCTGGGTCATGTCATCTCAGAAGTAGGGGTAAAAGTATATCCAACGAAAATAGAAGCATTTGCAAAATGGGAAGCTCCGAAAACTCCTTCTAAAGTCCGAAGCTTTTTCGGATTGGCCTGTTATTACCGTAAGTTCATTCAGGACTTTTCTAAGATTGTTGTGCCATTCACTAAATTGACTCGAAAGAACATCAAATTCCAGTGGGAAGGAGAACAACAAGAAGCTTTTCAACTGTTAAAATATCACCTTTGCAGCGCACCGGTATTGACTCTACCAGATGGGGTCCGAAGACTTTGTGGTGTACAGCGATGTTTCAAAGTTAGGATTAGGATGTGTTCTGATGCAGAGAGGAAAAGTGATTTCTTATGCATCAAGACAATTGAAAGATCATGAGAAGCAGWATCCAACCCATGACATGGAATTAGCTGCAGTGGTGTTTGCTCTGAAAATTTGGAGACACTATCTTCTGGAAACGAAATGTCAGATTTATATTGATCATAAAACTTTGCAACATTTGTTCAGCCAGAAATAATTAAATATGCGACAGCATCGGTGGATTGAACTAGTTAATGATTATGATTGTGAAATTCTCTACCACCCGGGAAAAGCTAACGTGATAGTTGATGCTTTGAGCAGAAAGGAAAAGAGTGGAACCATTAAAGCTATGGCAATTAGAATGAATTTGATCCCTGACATTCGTAAAGAAATTCAGAGATGTCAACAAGAAACTATGAAAGAAGAATTTGTTAAGGTAGAAAGGTTGGGTAAGATGATTTCAACCTTGGAACAGAATGACGAAGGACTAATGTGCTTTCAAGGACAAATTTGGGTACCATGTGTTTGGAGATATCCGAAACACTATATTAAATGAAAGCCATAACTTCCGATACTCTATTCATCCAGGCACCAATAAAATGTATAGAGATTTGAAACCTTTTTATTGGTGGCCCGGATTGAAGAAAGACATAACTAGATATGTGGAACAGTGTCTGACATGTTTACAGGTTAAGATTGAACATCAGAAGTCGTATGGAAGTCTTCAATATTTAGAGATACCTGTATGGAAATAGGATCACATTACAATGGATTTCGTCATGAAGTTGCCTCGAACTCCAAAAGGATATGACGCAATTTGGGTAATTGTTGATCGTCTGTCTAAATCTGCGTATTTTCTGCCAATAAGAGAAAAATACTCTTTAGAAAAGCTGGAACAGATTTATATTAAAGAAATTGTAATCAGACACGGTGTTCCATTATCTATTATCTCTGATAGAGATAGTCGGTTTACCTCAAAATTCTGGGAAGGATTGCAGAAAGCCTTGGGGTCTGAAATTCGACTAAGTACAACTTATGATCCGCAGACTGACGGGCAGAGTGAAAGAACTATCCAAACTCTCGAAGACATGTGGAGAAGTTGTATTATTAACTTCGGCGATCATGGGAAGATCATTTGCCATTGATAGAGTTTGCATATAACAATAGTTACCATTCCAACATTCAAGCAGCACCGTATGAAGTGTTGTATGGATGTAAATGCCAAACGCTGTTGTGTTGGAACGAGGTGGGTGAAAGACAGCTGACGGGTCCTGAAATTGTACAAGAAACTTATGAGAAGATCGAACAGATCCGTGAAAGAATCAGAACAACACAAGATCGGCGGAAAAGTTATGCTGATAATCGTCGAAAGCCGATTGAATTATGCGTAGGTGATTTTGTGATGTTAAAAGTTTCACCATGGAAGGGTGTCGTCATATTTGGAAAGAAGGGTAAACTCAGTCCAAGGTATGTGGGGCCGTTCAGAATATGTAAGCGAATTGGGCCAGTAGCATATCAGTTAGAGCTGCCAGAAGAACTGAGTCTGATTCACAACACTTTCCATGTATCGAATCTGCGAAAATGTTTAGCTGATCCAAGTTTAGCAATACCGTTGCCAGAGGTTTAATTAGACAGTAAGTTGAACTTTGTGGAAGCACCGGAAGCTGTAATTGACCGAAAGATCAGGGTGTTGAGATRCAAAGAGATAAGTCTAGTGAAGGTTCAGTGGAAGTTTCACAAAGGACCAGAAGCGACATGGGAATTAGAGTCAAAGATGAGATCAGAATACCCTTGGCTCTCTAATTAAAGGAATTCCGGGATGGAATTCTTTTGAGGGGTGGATAATGTGTTAACCGGATCCTGGTTGTCACCTGAGGTAATGAATATGTGATTATTTGTTATATGTGATTACATGACAACATGATAAATTAATACATTTGATCATGTTGGTATGTGAAAATGTGCATAGTGTAGATACATGAATGAGATAATATGAATTTATAGATGCACATGTTTTGTATGATATATATATATATATATATATGTGTGTGTGTGTGTGTGTGTGTGTATATGTGTATATGATTTTATATATATACATGAATTGTTTATTTGAAGAAGATAAATGTATGTATGTATATACATATTGTTTTTGTATGCATGCATCTGGGATTAGGGGAGGAGGCTGTAATAGCCGACTTTCCTGAAAAGGAAAGTATAAAAAGGAGGGGTTGGGGCTCTCTTCACTCTTTTTACCATTTCTGGAGCTCAAATGAGCGATTTAAGTGAAACAAGAGTTGATCGGATTGCTTATTTTATCTGAAATCTTGAAGTTATTTTCAAAAGAGTCTTCAAAAGGTGAGTGGTT